CGCCCTCCCCGCACCCCCGCCAGCCCCGTGCGGCGCCCCGGCCGCCGATGCGTCCTCACCGAGTCGTCCTCAGCCCGCCTCCCGCCGGGAAACGCAGGCGGGTGCCTCACCTGCCGCCGCCTCCCGCCGGCCCCGGCCACCAGCTGCCCGCCGCCACCTCCTGCTCGCGCTGTCACTCATGCATATTCCGCAGGGCTCCGGGCCCTCTCCTCCCAAGTCGGGGTGTCGCGAGTCCCCAGACCCCTACAGGTGAGCATCTTCCCGGCTGGCGCCCAGACTCCCACCCCGACCCAGGCTTGTACCAAGGCGCGATCCTGCCGGTGCCCCGCGACACTGAGGACGCCGGGGTCTTCCAGACTCCACCTGGGGAAGGGTGAAGGAAGCATGACAGGCCCCCATTGAGTTAATGAGCCACAGAGCTGGAATCAGAAAGCTAGGGACGCAGGAGTCAGAGGACTGGTGGTCTGGGCCAAGACCCCCTTTGCTGGCGACCAAGGATGCTAACTGCTGTGGGTGGATGCCAGGAGTGGAAGGTTTGGATTCAGGCTGAGCTTGGTCACTGCTCCCCTTCCCAACACTCAGGAAAACCCAGTTAGATGGATACAGATCCGCCCAAACTCCAAGGTGCAGAATAGAACAGGCCAAAGGAAGGAAGATCGAAGATCGAAGATCGATGGTGCCCTTGGAGTCAGGGAAACCTCTCCCAGCACAGGTGATGTTCACAGCGGGACTTAGTGGGTCTTTAAACTTTCCCTTCCCACACCGACCACTGCCTTCCCGTCCCATGGCTGTGCGCTAACTCCTGCTCTGCCAGTTTTCCCAGGGAAAACCGCAGATGTGGCTGTAAAATGAACCTTGTAAATCCTTTTTCCAAGACTACCCACCATCGGTGATTTTTTTAAAGGTGCTTTTCTTTTAGATTCCAGAATATTCCGCACCTATTAAATATTCCTCTATTAAATGTGTCTTCTCTGTTAAAATGATACAACCGTCTTATAACCATCTTGCTCAAATTTAGACAAGGTTTTCTTGATTTCTGCTTTGAAAAGTCGCTTCTAAAATATGAATCTGCTCCTCTCACCACTAGACTTGGACCCTCGGGAGCCTCTAGATCACCGACAGTGAGCACTTCATTCCAGGTGTCTTACTCCCTTGCAGGCCTTCCTGAGATCCAGGCCTCCACACTCAGTTTCCCCCACCACACACTCCACCACATTTTACATAACTAAGGCTTTGCATTAGTAGAGTTTAGTAGACACACAATCTGGGTGTGTACACAGAAGTACAAGCAGGATGAAGGATTCATTTTAGGGGCTTGGTTCACACAATTCCAGGATCTGGGAGGTCCCTGCAAGGAGAGCAGCTTTTGTGCCCTCACAGCTCAGGCAGGAGGATGCTCCAGACTTGAGGTGCCATTTTGTCTTTTACAGGAAGTCT